CGGGTACGGCAAACACGCCGCTGGCTGCTACTACTACTACTACTACTAGTAGCCGCGGGTGGACCTTGAAGGAGTGGGGCATCCGTGGGCAAAAGCGAGACACAGGAATGGCCAACCCGATGAGCGGGCCAGCCGCGAACCCTGGGAAAGAACAAGAGTCCACCACCTCAATACGAGCCGCAAAGGGAGTGGACCATTCCGGAATCTGAACGGGACAGGGGAAATCAAAAAAGCAAAAAATGGCCCACACCGAAAGGAGTGGGCCTTGAAGTAGTCAAGGCTGACAGGCAGCAGGCGGACGCGACAGACCCGTGAGCTTTTCGCATCCCCTTTGGAGCAGGAGGACGATACGAAAACACGTTGGGGGTGCGTGTTTTTCTGGTGACAATGGTGAATATCACAAGAAGACATAATTTATCGGGCTTCCGCTGGAGAGTCTCCGCCAGATAGTGGAGAGCAGTGTAAGAATCAGGGCTTCCAGCCCCGATTCCTCCAGGTGTTGAGGGAAGAGTCTCCAGTGGTTACAAGCGGCACGGCGTTCTCGGTCACAGTCTTACTCGTACTTGGGTCGTCGTGCGCACACTTGAGTTGCTGAGCCCAGGTGATAAGCGCGGCAGGGCTGGCACTCCTTGCCCACAGTGCTTCGCTCGCAGCTGCCGCGATACCTGTGATTGCGAGTGCCGCAGCCTTGAGCATGTTTGACTGCATACTATGTTTTTTGTCGCCATTTTGACCTATCAATCGTGAAGGCAATTTTCTCTTATGCCTCCATGGCCGAAAGCTCTGGCACGTGACTGCACTGCAGATTCAGGAATAAACGATGCATCTCAAGGCGATAGCCCGTGGCAGCGCGGTTCGAACTTCGCCCGCCATGTACCAGCTGTGAAGTTAACTACTTTTGCTTTTGATGTATGTGGGCGCTGGTGTTTTTGGACCCAGTGATGCTAGGAATGCAGGCCAACACGGCTGCAGGAAGATGCTTGTTGCCGCAGAGTTGTCTGGACGCTGACTAGCACCCATTCGCTCAGGAAGTCTGTTGGCCTTGGCCGATGCAGCTTTTCACAGGCAGGGCCAAAACACAACTCACAATTTTTGCTTGATCTTGGCCATGGAATTTTCAGTGTGAACCGCTGTTCCAGCAACACCTCGGAAACTGCAACAGCAGAGTTCAGGCCCTCGCAGATGCTGCAGAGCAGGACCAGTCAGCGAACGTCAATTTGTGCAAGTGGATGCACTTGGCATCTAGACATCGGGTTCTACTGCATTGCGTTAGGAAAGAACATTGGCTTCGGCAGAAGCACCCAAAGCACTTCTTCCGTTCGGTGCCGGCTGTACTGCGATCTTTGCTGCAGTGTGCGTGAGGGACTTAAAATTACCGACAGCTGAAGATGCATCGGCACATATACCACGAAGCAGCATGAAGACTTCACACTTCACTAGTTTCCAACCTCGGCTGCAGTCCTGAGAATCCCGACTGGCAGCGTGAGGTGACCTTGAAAATCTTCGAGGAGGATCCGGCAAATCAAGCAACCGCCGCCGCTGTGGGCTCCGGGTGGAACACTAGAACGGACGGCTCGAAGCCCAGCCTCGTTGAGCCAGATCATTCAGTGATTGCCAGCTTCCGAGGATTCGCAGCCCTCCTGGACGTATTTTTTGCATTCGCATCAGCTGCCTGCTGCAACGGCACGTGCAGCACGTCATTGGGGCGGCGCGTTGGTCAATTGCATTACGTGGCATGGCATGGCTGCATGGCTAGGCTAAACCTGTCCTATCCCAAGGTTTTTGGGGCCATGGCGACGAACGACCAAGCCTTGCCCCCCTCACAGACGAGGGCGTGGTTCGGTGCTCTTGTCTGAGCAGCTGAGAGTATGTCATCGTGCGGTCGACTCTCGAGGTTGGTGATATCGAAGCTGCGACCTCAACTACGCAATCTGCAGCAGGACAACTGCGCTGACTGCGCCGGTGGCTGCGCAGATGTTGGCGGGACATGAGTTGCAGGAGGAAGACGAGGTGGATGGAGAGCCGATAGAAATCGAAGATGGCGACGTGGAGGCCCCTATTTCTTCAAGCAGCTTTCAGATCAAACGTTAGGTGTTGTCCGAACATCCGGATCCAGAGAGGTGACACAATGCAGACACGGAAGCTTCAGGGTTCTCTCGGCACGACTTGACCGGGGATCGTAGTAGAACTGCCGTGTAGAGGGGGGCAGCTACAAGGACGGCTTGTATTAGTATGGGTGTGCGCCGGGAAACCAGTGTAATACGAAAACTTCAGTTCTCAGTGGGCATGGCGCCTCAATCCAGAGCCTTGCCACCGAAGCTATTCCTTCGAGGTGGGAGCGGTTGGGGGCGCTCAACGGAGCACCTGCAACGTTTGTATCATCATCGCAGATCACCAAGCTGTACATGCTTCGCGTTACAAGCACGTAGGAAGTGACTGCAGATGTTGTAGCAGCGACTGCGCTACTTTGTGGACGTGTTCTGGGGCGCTGTGTGACAATGAGATGTTGCTTCAGTTGCTTCCTTGTGGGCTACTCTGTCTATTTGTACTTGGAACTTAATTGGTGGTTACCCTGTAGGATTAGGTGGCGGGTACTTCGTTTAACCCTCAAGATGCCGGAGGCTTGTGGCCTCGGCGGATGAACACAGCAATTATGGTAAGTCGCCTGTTCAGTGATTCTACTGATATATTCTGTTCCAATCCCAACGCCAGGATACAATGGTCTTGGCCCCTCCCCGCCTCCGATGACCCAAACTCGCCTGCCAAACAAAAATACAGTGTGTCCTTGCCTGCGCGTTCGTGCTGCATGTATTCATGCATGCATGCATGAATGTATGTACATACGTATGTATATGATAGATATACATGCGCATGTATGGTCATTTAGCTGTGCCACTATGCTTGTTTTTGCGTGTCTGCGTGTGCACGTGTCGGGCACGAGTGTGGGCGGATACACCTTCATTGCTCTATCGGCTGACGTCCCACACCCTATATAGCGTCGTCGCATCACCGTCAGTCTTCAAGATGAGTGAGTTATGACGTGGCCTGGATTGATGGAATTTGTCGCAGGATGAGATTACAGCAGGGGTGCCCGAGATTCATGTTAGACAGGCATCGTATCTGTAAAGTGAGTTGGAACACCAACTCGGCACACCTTGAGTGCTGGCCACTGAAAGCGAGATCCAGCTTGAAACTACGACAAGTGCAAGAAGCATTTCAGCTTGCAGTGATCAGGTGCAACATGCGAGCGTTCGGACGGATCACAAGGCAACCACTCTCGCTGACACACGCGTAACAAACTGTAATGCTACACACAGGGGCGATGAACATGTGCTGGACGACACCGCTTTGCTGCATGCGCACGGACACCCCGCATCGCTTCGGGAGGCCTGTCAGGCAGGCATTTGGCTCCCGTGCGTTTCGGAGGTGTGCCCATCTCTCGAGAGAACCGGCATTCCCAGGTCGGCAGGAGGGCGCGAGCAGCACTGGGGATTCTGAGCTTCACGGCTTGCTTTCTTCCACTCACCTGGCTTCCTGGCATGCTTGGCCTTGCCCGAACGACATGGGTTTTGGTGCTGCTTTGCGGTGTTCGTGAGGTTCGAGACCGGATTTCCGGCAGCAACGTTAACAGGAATCCCCTCAGATGAGATGGCAGTGATCGTGTCTGCCAGTGCCGCAGCACAAGCAGCATTCAGCACGGCACCCGGAGTAGAAGAAGCGTGTCATCACAGCAGCTCAGCTCGCTGTTCCCTTCGCTCCAGGCTTCCTTATTGCCGAGAAGTTTTTCGCCGATGCCGAGCGTAGGGTCGCAGCACAGTCTCGACAAGCAGCCCTGTCCGAACTATTCTTCGCGCAGGTCGCCTGGGTGCAAGCAGATGCAAGCAGTAAGCAGTAACCCCGCAGTGAACGGGAAGTGTGGAGATGTTCGGAGGCCCAAGCAGACTCGGCCATCCTGGGCGCCAACAGTGCCATAAGTGCGACGAGCCTTGGCTTCGCATCCACAGCGGCTGAATTCTCCAGAGCATCTTCGGCCCTATCGCTGTGGCCAGCAGTGCCCCAATGCAACCAGTGCAGCATAGTGCTGTTTCAGTTTGTGAAGCCCCCAAACCCGTGCACACTGACTACTCGCCTGTCATAAGACCTTTAGGTTCTCAGCACGGTCCGTTCGACCGCCAGTTCCCTGACGTCTCGGGCTGAAGCAGACGCAGCGTGGCTTGAAAATCAGGCTTCGCAGCGCATCTTGGCAGGAGCATCGGTTAGCATGGATGGAGCAGACACGGTGTCTGCAACAGTGCGTGAGCTCCGGCAGCTGCAACGCGATTTTTCACTGGATGACTTCACAGAAACTGTGCGCGCCGAGCTTCGAAGTCTCGATCCCAATTGCATGAAGGACTTTCGAGGCCTCGCTGCCGAGCAGCGTCGAAAAGTGCATTTAGTGGCAGCCGAGCTTGGAATGCTTTCGCAGTCCTACGGGCTGTCTAGGCCGGGGACCCGGTCGCGCAGCGTCCGGGTGACCAACATCTTATCCAGTCGGGGAGCGCTTGCAGACAATGCTCCGTCTGATGACGGATTTCTCAGCGACCTCCAGACAATTGTGCGGGATCTGAAAGCCGAAGCATTGCAGATCGAGAGAAGTCTGAGGCAACGAGGACAAACACAGAACGCCCTGGTTGCTGCGCTTGTTGCTTTGAGCACGGCCTCGCCATGGTTACTGGGAAGCAGCGCAGCGGAATTATACCTGCCGTTGGCCACTGGAACTGTTGGGCTCTGCACGGCATGGCAAGAAACCGCAGGGAAGGGCGCCGTTGCAACTGCGAAGAGGCAGAGTGCATTTCTGTTGACTCGGGAGGCTCGGGCCGAGCTTTTCTTTGGTCGAGCGCAACTTGCGTATGCACCTTTCCCCACCGACTTGGCCATCGCAACCCTTGCAACAACGGCTTCGGTGTTGTCCGTAGAATTCGCTGGCAATATCTTGAGACTGACGGCCTTGTCGATGGTCATTCCTGCAATGGCAGCATGCTCCATAGCAATGCATCGGCGGCACAAGGTGGAGAGGTTTGCAGCGGCAAGTATGAGATGTGTGGATGCCAAGCCGATGCGATCCCGTCGCTCGTACTGGAAACGGCTACTGTGCCAGTTCAATCAGCCGTACTTCATTTTCGTTTTGTGCACGTGTTCGCATCATAAGGTTGGCAAAAATTTCTATAGATCCCTCGGCCCTAGATTGAATGAACGCGCTCTCGGGGGCGATGCTGAATCTGGTAAGATTATCTTACTTCTAAGGAAGACTTTAGGAATCTTTTTTGCGACCTCAGAACATTAAACTCCTGTTGAGATATACTGCTGAACACTTTGCCCATGCGTGAAAATCGCGGAGCTCGGTTCCAAAACGAAAGGCGAACAAGCTTCCGAGCGAGCAAGACAACATGGAGGTAAGGGATGACTGACCCGATAGATATAGATACACAAATGCTAAGCGACCTGCCCAAAATCTGTGATCGTGCACAAACCCACTACAGCAATGGTGGAATGTGTCCAGTTGGAAAGAGGTAGTGCGCCTGCTCAGGAGATGGTGGCTTTTGCCTACAGTTTGTGGTCTGTTTTTTCCTTGCGACACCGCTGGCAGTGTGACGATTGCTTGTGCCATGCTGTCGGCGGAGATTGCGCTAGCAATGGCCGAGAGCTTGTCCTACCTGGCCGATGCTGAAGGCTGGGAGTAAACGATGAGCTGGAGACATGACTAGACCCACATGACTGCACTGTGGAAGGCAGCGTCGCCAGGGCCAGCCGTGCAGTGGCTACCGCCGAAGCCTGGTCGCAGCTTGCCCAGTTCTCGGTCCGGGCGCTGCCGGCACGCACCTCCGTGGCCGTGGCAGCTGAGCTCAGGCGGATCTCACGACAGTGTGCCAATCTGTTTTTGACACAGACTGAGGTTGCGACACTAGTTGCAACTGCATTGGTCGAGTTCTCCTTGCCTTTGCGGCTCGCCAATGGTGACAGTCAGATTGCTTTTTGTTGGTCCCCTGAAACTCGTCGAAGTTTCTCCGACCAGTAATTTGTACCTTGTGTGTCCCCGGACTACAAATACTACAAGCACCGCAAGCTCTCATCGCGTGCATAGTGCATGGGTCGGCGTGGAGGCAACCATGGCTATGCCTAGGTGTGCGCTATTTCCTGTGCTGGGTGCTGCAGTTCTTGTACGCTCAGTTCAACTGAACAGGCTCAATCGGAAGGTTCATGCAGCATTGCACAGCTCAAGCAACTGTAGTGTTCTTGAGGGCTCATGCAGGCAAGCCCAAACGGCCGCAGAGAAGTTGGAGCAGGACAAGCGGGAAGCAGCCATTGGGCTCGGACATAAGGAAGACCTCAATTATGATGTTTTCGTGGGGTGGTGATGGTTCTCAGCTCTTGAGGAGATGAGGAATCATCGGAAAGAGGAGATCAATCTTCAAGAAACGTAAAAGTTTGCCCCGTTACGACGGCCTTCTCTTGGTTTATCGCTGGATCGTTTCCGAGACTAGGTAAAAGGCGGTTGTCATGGCATGTTGAGGTCACGTTCATTTACCTAGATTTGCCACGCGCCAATCCAAACATCGGACTGTTGAAACGTGACGCTGTGCGTATGTGTCCGCACTAGACAGTTTTCAGTTCCTGCTCGAACTGCTTTCAGTTTTTCAAGCATTTGTTTGCTCGAGCCTCTCGATCCCGGCGCACTTTCATGTTTGTTGCAACTCTGTTTGAATCTGGCAATCTCGTGTAGCTTGGAATGGCAGCACGGGTGGAGTTTAGTTATAGATTATAACAGTGGCGGCGGCGGCGGCCAGACATCTCAATCCAGATGTGGTGCAGGTAGCTTCTAGGCTGGACACTGAGGCCCAATGCATAATTTTTTCTAACTTGCAACCGTTGCCCATTTGCCATTACTTTCATGCACTCTGCTCAACCCGGCTCCAGCCGACATTGGGAGTAGGGGTTGGTGAATGTTTGTAATCCGATGGGGAACGACACTGGAAAGCAGTTTTGGTAGATGGATGCCGAGAACTTGTCGAACACAGAAAGCCTTCATAGTGCTTCCCAACAACACCACCTGCGGCAGGAGTTCACGGACATGCAGAAGTTGATGAAGGTTGTGGGCCTGTCAAAGTCACGGCACGGCAGTGGCATGTAAACGTGTACCGATTGTCACGAGGCAGAGCCGTGGACGAGACTGCGACGACTCTCCGGCCAAAGCAGCCGCATGATTTTGAAAGAGCTGCCGGTGTCCAGGCATCAATCTGCAGCAAGGTTGGTTCTCTTATTCAAACATGCCTGCCATGCTTGACCGCCGACACTTGGAAGGTGGAGGTTCGATCCTAGCATCTTGACTGGTATCAACTTGAACAACCAAATCCGGCGAGGCTTTATCAGGCAAGCCGAAACCAGTCGCAAGCTTTGCCCGGTGTCCTGTCTTAAGCGGCGCAGATGTATTCAATGTGCAATGCTTGGCCGCCCCAGCTTTCCATGATACAGTGTGACGTGACGAAGACATGGCAATGGAAAAGTTCGAGTTCGGATGACTGTTTATTTGGCCACCCCTCTTGAAGCAGCATGGCATCCGCTACCAAACCATGATGTCACAGGGCTTTGACAAGCGCCAGGCTGAAAAATCTTTGGGAGGATCGAGGGCCGGCTGAGGCTTACAAGCAAGCACCAGCCGAGCAGGTGTCGGAAGCGCTTTGCACAGATGTCACCTCTGACTCCTGCGGGGCATCGGACGGGACTTGCTCTGCAGGCGGTCCAAAGTGTTCAGCGAAACCTCCAAGAGTTTCGCACACTGACGAGGCTGTGACCTTCTGGGGATCAGTGTCGAAAGCTTCAGCATCACCCAAGCATGTTGCCAGCAAGGTTCAACTCCAGGACTTGGTTCCGCACCCTGTCCGTTGTGGGCCTTGTTGCCGTGGCTTCAGTGCTGCAGCCGTGGTTTCTGTTCTCCAGCAGCGAGGCTTTCTTCCCGGTTTCGTTCGAGGGTGCTGTTATTCATTGCAGTCCATGTCTCGACATTGCTTGGCGAGACAGGTTGTGTTGCCTGTGTCTGGCGCTCTCTTGACTATATTCGTTGCGGCTACGCCCCCAGAATTCCACCTGAACACTACTGGACTCTGTGTCTGTCTGTCTGTCTGTCTGTCTGTCTGTCTGTCTGTCTGTCTGTCTGTCTCTGTGTGTGTGTGTGTGGCAGTGGTGGGGTCGACTCGCCATTGCTGTTGGAATTTTACCAAGGCTTCCGAAAGTGAGGCTCGTCGAAGTGTATCTGCTGCCAAAGCAACCCGGAATCTCACGTCCGTGTGTTTAGCAACGCATCTGAACTTTCTTGTTCCATTTCGACTTCCCAGGTAAAGGCAGCAGACATCAAGGCTGCCACCAGTATCCTGGAGGAATATTCTTCCTGTTGCCGCCAGGTCCAGGTGATTTTGGACAGAGTTTTGTGACAGGAGCTGTCAGCATCCGCCATGCAATTTCGATCGCGACTGATCGCTTGGGCCGGAGTCACCGCTGCGACCTGTGCTGCCTGGCGGAAGATATATTCTGCAGTTGAAGGAGTGCCAATTTCAATCAAGAGATGGTAGTGGTAGTGACTGGAATGGACTACTCGTAAAGGTGCCAATTGAAAGGGCGATTTAAATTTGCAGTGCCTGTGCCAGGAAAGTAGTTCTTTGCATATTCTTGTCGTAGGGGCCGCCGAGGGAGCGGGAGGGTGCGTGAGACCTTCACAGGCTGCCAACGGGGTGGGTTGACAGCCGCAAAATACAAGTTTCGACCCTCAGAATCAGAAGCCAATTTGCCAAGGTTCTGTCGGTCATCTCCGTCAGGCACTGGCCTCTTGCAGCCAGGCCGTGGCAGATGTAAAGGCCATTAGATGCCTCACACAGCGCCTGCAGGTTTCCATGGCTTGAGGTGGCTCAGCATTGCTGGAGGCTCCTCTTGGTGAGCACACACATAGCCGGCGCCTCACGGTCAGGTGTTGTTGCACTTCTCTGTCCCAAGTTGTTGGTGTCTGGAATTGATGCATCAAGATTTGTGGACAGGGTGCTGCTATTGCCAGCGTCTTGCCTGCCAAAGCCTGGAACTCAATGCTACCAGGAACAGATGATCACGAGTGGCAGCAAGTGGGTAATATGGGAGTTAGAGAAAACACCGTCTCTCGACAGGGCTTGTGCCGCCCTACTGCCATAAATGCTTTCCGACAATCCTTGTGGTAGCCTGCCACAGCCTTTTCTTGCCTTCATTCGTTGCTGTTGCGAACCGAGACCGGTGTTGTATTGAAAGAACTACAGTACCTCACCAGAACGTCACACGTGAACTGGCGACCTTCTGGTGCGATTTGCTGAGGCAGTTTTTCTTTGGACATCGCAGGTGAAGCGGGATCTGCCGGCCGCCAGGTCCTTGCGTGTCGCAGCCACAAGCGCCAAGGAGGCCTGGACTGGACTCACCGTGCATTCGCCAGGTCGGCGCTTTCCCCACTGCCGTTGCAGCCTGGAGCAGTGTCTCGCGGCCAGCTTCCAAAGGGGAGCCGTCGGCCCGGCGGTTTCCCGCCACACCTGTCGTGGAACTGTCGTGCTGTTTCCTAGATTTCAGGCCTCATGGCATTGTTAAACTCCTGAACTCTCAAAGCACGGAAGATAGGCTCGTAGCTGCAACTGGCAGATGATCCACAGGGATGGCGCATGTTTACTCAGTTTAAAGGCTTCAAGGCGAAAAGAGAGATCCGTGGCATGCAAAAGCACCAAGCTTGCCGTGCGACGGTTTGTGCAGCCAGGGTGGTTTGACTTGCTTCGTGGCACATGGGTGTTGGGGCCTCAAATGCTTTGGGTGTGCGACGTTTTGTGTCCGAGCCTTTGGAGTCCTGGAGCGGGCGACAACTTGAACTGTAGCCGCTTCGCTCCCCAGTTCAGGTGGCAGCTTTTTGCAGCACTCCCTGGGGTTGCTTTGACTTTTTACCCATCTTGCAGGATCTGCTGTGTGTGTATGTGTGTGTGCCTGTGTGTCGCAGGCACGGGGTTTTACACTTCAGTCTAGAGCCGTGAAGCCTGAGGAGCTTCGAGGAGAGGACAGTGGCATCAACAGCTGCCAGCAGCTTTGTAGCACGAGCCTCAGGGGCTGCTCAGAATGTCATTTTGCAGAGGGAGTTCTGGTTTTGCCAGTCAGGTCGCCACCATGCTGTGTTTGGCCGAACGGGCACTCTACCGAGCGGACTGGTATTTAGAAGCAGATCACCTCCACCTTTCGCAAAGCCTTGCTTGTTCACCTGTGCCAGGAGCTTTTCATAGCCGGGAGGCGAATAACCTTTGCCCTGACAGATACTTTGGCAAACGAGGCATCGAGCAAGATCCGAGCAGGTCGCTTCAGCGATTCTCTGCTTTTTCTTCAGGCAGAACAACAAAGCGCCTTGTTGCCAGTGGCCACTGCCAGATTCTCGGTATTCCCTAGCTGCTTGCCCGAGAGCGTATTAGTACCGGAGAGCACATCCAACTTTGATAAAGACTTTGGCCAAGTGTTGGACTTTTCGCTTCGGGCATGCTGGGACCTTCCTACCTCAACAACAGCAATGCTGCTTCCACTTGCGCTCGTTCGCTAGTGGCCACTGGCCGGCGACATGCATGCTGCACAACCGGCGATTCGTCAAAGCGAAAGAGGGCACGAGTGAGAGAGAGAGAGAGAGAGCTCACTCGCCCCTTAAGCCCGAAGGAGGAAGAAGAAGAAGAAGAAGAAGAGAGAGAGAGAGAGAGCAACCAATTGTTCTGCGTTTCACCTGCACTTACTCAAACCAGCTGATAGCCATTCTGTTGATATAAGCAGACGCACTTACATTGATGTACGGACCAGTGCAACTTACAGCATACTTGCATGACTTGTAACTCCAGATGCAGCACATACAAGTAGATTTCTCAATGTCATAACCAAAAAGCCGGTTAAATTCGTAGTAAAATGTAAATGCGAACACTCAGTGAGCAACCGTTACCACAATCAAATTCGGCAGTTCTTCTTCCAAGAACTTCGCGTGTTTTTCTGGACAAAAGATCTTCAACATGGACATGGCTCAATTCAGAAGAAGAGTTGGGTGATCTGTTGCAAACCATTAGGTGAGCGACCGAATAAACGAGGCAGCCACGATAGCCGTGTCTGCCGCGGTGACATTTGGTGTCGAGCTGAACCCCTTTGCCGCTTCTGCATTGGCCCTCGTGCAGGTGGCTTTTCAAGATACGTCTCCTCAAGCGGATGTTGTTGCTGCCAGGCAATCACTTGGGTTTTGGCATCCCGCAAAGCATTGGAAGCCAAGTTCGGAAGCGACGCGGCAGTGCAGGCAGGCGCAGCGCGGCGCAGCCGAATTCTGTCAGACGGGTCAGAGTCTTTGTCGCTTGGACCATTGGAGGTGGCCACGGTCACCGAGGGCCGCCTTTTAGCTCGGCCGGGCCGGCTTCCCGACCTACGGACGGTTGCTTTGCTTTAAAAATTTATCCAAAGCAGCGTCAGACATGGAAGCCGAGACCTCTGACAACCCTTGCCCAGGAAGCTTCGCGGCGGAGAATCGGCCAGTGGCGAAGCTTCATGAGCATGCTGGCATAAGGACCCACTCCCTGCTTGTTTTGCACAAATGCTGCAACTGGCACCCTGGCTGCCAGTGGTACAGGACGCGCAGGGTGCATCAGCTACATTCAAGTCTTGTTGCATGCAGCTCAGATTGAGACGCCTTCGTTGAACTCCGTTTCTCTTGCTGAGGTGCACGGTACGAGTACTCTTAGAGCATGGCTTCATGCACAGAGGTGCCAGCTTGTGAAGAACATCATGGCAAGAACTGCCTCTTGCAAGAGTGGACAACCTCCGGCGCATCGAAGACTCCTCACCGTTCACATGCTCAGCACCGGGGCATGAAAGCGTCCGGGCCAGAAGTCAGAACCTACATGAATCAATCATTCTGTTCCGGCCGTCGCATGGCCTGTGTCGTGCGCCATGTTTCGCATGAGGTGAACGATGTTGTCATGGGGCAAGCATGGCTGCAAGAACAAACAGGGCTACGGCGGCTACACATTGAATAGATCAGCGTGAACTTCAAGACGTGGCCGGGAGCAACTACAACGTGCTTCATGATGTGGAGCCAATTCCCCCACCGGAAAAGTGGCGACAAGCGGCGCAACAGACCCGACGAGACATGTCCTGCAGTGCATGCTGCATGGAGCGAAAAAATGCGCTGTGCATCCAAGCACGATGAACTGCAGGCCTACTGAAAGCTATCCTGGTGTGGTTAGCAAGATTTAGCAAGTAACTATAAGTCACTGCATGTTCCCGTGACGCTTTGGAAGTATCTTGTTTTTTTGACACGGATCGCCTAAATGCCTGAATCGTAGGCCCAGGCAAAGATGCACACCCCTCATGCCATGGCCCCATGGCTCCTCTTCAGCACAAGCGTCCCTGCCGGCCAGCTCGGGACATGCGTCCCATGGCAGGCGGATCGAAGCCCGAAGCCGCCGATCGGGCTGTATGTCAATGCTTCTGTCAACTTACTGACTTACTGTGCTGCTCAGAATATGCAAACCATCAAATTCATCATCACAGCACCCGGTCAAATGACGACATGTGCAGCAACAAAAACCTCACTAAGCAAGAACGGTGCACTTGTGCTGGCATATCAAGATCAAAGACTCGGCAGTCAACCAACCCTAGCTAGCGATCGAAAGCAAGCACGAAAAGACTAGCACGCCGCGAGAGAAGACCGAATATGTGAACCGCCGCAACAAAGCCGTGGCATGAGCTTGCAACAATTTCGTCGCATGTTTTGATCTGTACTTGAAGGTGAAAGCCATGAGTTGAAGTGCTTCCTGCATACTTGCACATGTAACTTTGCCGGCTAGCCCGGATGCGAAACAATAGCACGAAAACCTGTGGGCAGCAGTAGGGACATCCCGAGCCTGAGCTTTAAGCACACATCGTTGACTTGCATCGCGGTGGGATCAAAGCCGTTCCGTGGACCAAGGGGTCGTGGCTCAACGAAGACACACTCCCCAGCTCGTGCGAGCACACTTGCGACATTTTACGACGGTGTAGTTCCTCTGCCTTGGCACTGCAGCACTTATCCCCGCAACGACCTGGTAAAGTAACTACCCGGCGGTCGGTTGGGTGGTGGGTTGTGTTGGTCGACTGGCTGCCGCGTGTGTGATCGCGAGGGTTTGACAGTATTGAGGCTTTACGAACCGGAAGGCAAGAGCTAGAAGCTGCATATACTGCTAAATGCAAATCAATCCTGCCATGTCCTTTCTTGCTGTATGTTTGGGCCGTAGTGCCTTTGGAAGTGCAGATAGAGATCACAAGACAAGGGAGCTGCGCTGTGAACAGCAAATTCCGTCGTGTAATCGTGTAAGTGCAAGCAACATCTGGGCATTCAACTGACAGTACAGGAATGACCATCAGAGAGCTTTATAGCACTTTGCAAAGAAATGGACTTCGACAAGGCTCAGATCTAGTCGCCAGCACATGGAATGGGTTGCTCGACAAGTCGTGCTGGAGCCAAGGTGCACTGAAACAGTCGCGTTTTTGCAGCATTGCATGGTATACGAACCTTGCTGTTAACTGGCTGATAGGTACATCCATCTGCAGTTGTGGTTCCTTCGGATACCGGGCCAGAGACTTGCGCTGGTGTTGTAACTATGGATCAGAGCGCCTACGCACCACTAAGATTTGCTAAGTGCGGATGGTCTGTGAACATGCGCCAAGTGCACCATCACCATTGCCATCATCGGGTTCTGCACGGACAGATGGGCCCCAGGAGGCCGAAGTGCTCCACATGTTTATTGTTCTTCACTCGGGTTGTTGCAACCTGGGAGAAGCATGTGGTCAGGCTGACGCACTGAGAAACCCAGAGACAATTAGGCCATCTCCAGTGCCGGTCTGCAAACATCGCCGGGGTGCGAATGAGAGGCCCGAGCCTGCCGGGAATGTCGAGACTGACCAGGCATTGTCACATTGTCAGACTCCGTGCCAGCAGCCTTCCCTTTCTGGTGGTGCTTCAGGCCATCCCAAGAGCGAAGCCCAAGGCAAAGCCCATGACATTGATCAAGGCTCACAGACATGCGTCGATGCGCGCACGTACACTCGTGCATGGCAGGCATGTGGTTGTTGAGCTGAGGCCATAAAAGCAAACGACTTGATGTCACTGGACGAACTCCTACAGTCACCAGAATGCAATTTGGAGGCACACCGCAAACAGGAAGGAGATATCATGGAACCATGAGTATTCCTCGCACAGGTTCTTGGAATGTGGGACAACACTCCCTTGCTCGCGGCTTGCATGTATGGGCATTCCGAGGCAGATCCTGTTGATCTTGCAGCATGCCAGAACTGGCATAAGTCATCATTCTGTCCTATGAAAGGCTGCTCTCCAACTCATCGCTCATGGGGCCGACATCTTCGCCAGGCTGGACATGGCATGTCGTGATGCTCGGATCTTCGTAACTATCCAAATGATGGCACCTTGTAGCAGCACACAGCCTTTCAGGAACGAACATGGTGCAACGCCACTGCTCTATGCCTCAGTGGAGGGCAGCGTTTCTGTGGCCGGGGCTTTGATTCAGGCCGGTTGTCGGACCCCTCCTCCTCCGCCTCCTCATCCTCATCCTGCTACGGTGGCCACTTTTTAATCATGTGGAGGGCGGGCTCGGGCCACGAGCCACGAAGGTAGTATAAAATATCTATTTAAATCTCCGCATGTTTAAATGTATGTAAGTACCTTATACACACGTGTTTCACACGCAAGCACACGAAGAAGTGGGCCGCTTGGCGCGTTGAAGTTTTGTGGTGACTCAGAGACCTTCAGATGCGATTTGAGTTTCTGTTTTGGGATAAGGGGGGTTCTTGTGCATTGACCATGTGGCCTAGTGGCAAGAAGGCACACTCGTAAGCCTTTTGGTGAATGTGCATGGTTTCAAATCCTTTGAGCGGCCCTACTGCCGCAATTAGGTTCTTTTCCCCTCCCAGCCCAGCCCAACTGCCCTAAATGCCGCAGTTAGCTTTGTCCCTTCTGCTTTGGAACAGTTTGGAACATTTGTCAAAAACCTAACTGCGGCAGTTAGGGGGATTTTCCCTGCCGCCACTGCATGCCACAAATTCATTAAACTCTGAATTCCGCTGCAAGTCCCTAGTACGCCCTTCTCCTGCGTGATGTTGTTGTCGCGGTCGTGGAAGACGGCGTTCAGGATGTGTGCGTGGACGATTTCTTCGACGGGTTTAAGTGCTAAGGTTTCCGTATATGTAAAACACGGGCGGCCTTGCCCGACCCCTCACAGATGTAGTATAATGAAATATCTGTTTTATGTATTCACTTGTCCGCATATTTAAGAACAGTCACCGTAACCCTAGTACTATTGCTGCTGCTGCTGCTGCTGGTGCTGCTGCCGTAGCCATTTTGGCTCAAGTGTCAGATTTTCAGCAGTCAGCTAGGTGCCTCAGTCCTGCCTCAGCCTGCCATGTCTTGGGTGCAGCAGGTGAGGCGCACAGAACATGCTCTCGTCGCCCTGATCAGTCAGGATGCAGACGTGACAATCGAGGCGCTTAGCAACCTGCCAGCGGATGCCAGGGGTCGCCTGCATACAATGCTAGTCCTCTCAGAGGAGGTGGCAGCCCAGACAGATTCAGGCTCCTTGGTGGTGGTCGACACTGGTTTGGGTACAGCCACGTACTACCTGCTGGAGTCAGGTGAGGAGTCGGAGGCTACAGACGACGAGCAGGAACCCACTGCAGACGCTGGTCAGCCACATGCAGCTTGGGCAGATCAACTTGATGCTTTAGACGACACTTTGCCTTCTGCCAAGCCCACCTTGTTGGTTGTTAGGCTGCAGACCCTACACTGTCCGACCCAGGCGTCTCCTCCACTCAGGTGACTCAGGTTAGCAGGGAGAGAACCTGAGGGTCAGTACTCTTGAGTTTTTTGAATTGACTCTCGGTTTGAACATCGCCGCGCAAGAAACAAGACTTCCTGTAGCTCAAAATCATGCCCGATTCTGCAATACTTGCCTCCAGCATACGGAAAATTCTGATTGTCCTCGCCACCACCTGGGCGGCGTCCTTCCCAGACGCGTCAGCTGACAAATCATCTAACCACAAATCCATACGCTCTGCAAATTGCGAGTCATGGGCCTTTCTGCAGTTGGGGTAAAGGGCTACTTTCGCTAGTGCTGGTGCTTGAGGGCACCCAGCAAGAATGCCCCTTTGTGCATAGAGCGGTGGAGAAACTCGTAACTCCGACTCTATAACCCGCGCTCCCGAATAAACCTGCAGACCAACATCCAGGAGGAGAGGTCGGTAACCAACCTCAAGCGCAATGTCAGCCAGGGCGCGGTGCCCCACTGTCTCGTAGAACCTAGTGAGATCTAGAAAAATGGACACTCGCAGCTTCTTATCCAAGGCCTTGGCAACCTCTGAAAGACAAAGCCGGTCCACTGCCACATCTAAGCAAGCCACCCCTGGCCTTGCTGCCTTCCCTGGAGCTTGCTTCACAAAGCTGTGCAACCAACTGCTGACCAACTCATACCTCTGATGCACCCATGCCTTATAAAGGAACGGGCACAGAGCGTGGGG